AGTTTCCCGGCCAAAAGTTTGAACTTGGACAAAACAGCAGCAGTGAAGTCGATTTCGCTAAGACCCGTTGAAGAAGTTGTGTTGTATTTGCTTCGATAAAGCTTGCAACTATGCTTGCGACTTGCGGCATTGTTTTCAGTTTAAGTTTTTCCTTCGATTGGTTGTTTTGTTCGTGATTGGACATACGACCAGGTGCACAAGGCTTTCATGCTTAATTTGACATTTTTGCCAGCTTGTGACGTGTTTGTTTACATTCGGCAGCACTGAATTGATGTTTGGAGGTTGTTTTTCCGGTTCGGCCACAGAAGCTTCGGTTTTCAGATCCAAGTTGAGATTTTCGGTGAAAATATGTACAGAGTAACACGCAGCTTCACATCAGAGTCTTCCCGTTGGGCGAAACTTGTTCCCGCACCGTCGCAAGCCTAGTCCCCAGTCGCTGTGATTCCATCATTGCACACCATGAAGTTATCAAGCTCTGAAGGCTTCCAACCAAGTAAGATCGCATCGAATACAGTTGGCTGACGCCTCGCAAGATTGGCGCAGCATGCATCTTCCTGCATTTATGCATGTGGTTCCCGTCAACGGTTTCAATCGAACACCTGACGAATACTGCTCACTTTCTCGACAACATTTGTTGCAATGCCGCCTGTCAGTCCCGTCGGCGACACGGTGATGTGCTCAGTTGGAGAATCACAAGATCATGTGCTGATCCCCGCTTGTGTTGCATGCAGAGCTGGAGGGTGATCGTTGCATAGAGGGATGGAGCCGTCTTCGTCCGTCGTTATATCTTGCACCTTGTGCATTCGTTGCAGGATCTTGGGACCAGAAAATCGTGTAAGTGTAACTGGAAGCCTCCAAAATCTCCCAGCGAGAAGCTTCAGTATGCGCTTTGCAATGTTCATGTGATGATGATTGTTACCATGACTTTACAGATCCTGTTACTTTGACACACGTAGACTCATCTCATGCATGTCATCAATACATATCAATACCATGATGCGGGGTGCCATCCAGAGGTTGATGTTGCGATTGGTGCTTGTGATGGGTTTGATGGTGATTTTGCTTGTGGTCACAGCGACACTGATACTAGTCATATTCATGTTCTGGTCATAACGTCTGTGATCATGTCATAGGTGCAGGTGTGGGTAGGCTCGGAACCGAGCACGCCAAGTTTGAAGTAACCTTAAAAGCCATAGAACCCAGTCCTAGAAAGGAGGCAGAAGAAGTGCAACTTGTTCTGAAGATGCCTAGCCCAAAACCCAAAACCGTGCCGTGCTAAGGGTCAGACCCCCGACAGCGAAGAGGCATCGCGGGACTTAATGCCGTCGCCGGGCAAGCTTTGATTCTCACTCAACCCCAAACGAGGTTTAGGGCATAGGTGACGGGTTCAAGGATTACCTAAACCCCAAACCCTAAACCCCCCTGCAATCCTAAACCCTAAACCCTAGACCCTAAACCCTCAACTGTCAACCTCGAGCACTTGCTCCCAGTCGGTCGACCTGCGTCCCGCGGGGTGTCTCAGTTTAGAGTTTAGGGTGTAGGGGTTCTTTTCGGAGACAACATCGGGAGCCTAGAGCCACACCTGCATGTGAGATGGGTGGGAGAGCAGCAGCCATGGCGTTGTCTCTCATGGTTTGACAGTTCTGAGCCTGCAGCCTTCTCCGGAGGGGTTCAAGGTGTAGGGCTGGGGTTCTGTGATATTTTGTGCCGCTAGGGTTTGGGGTCAGGGGTTTAGGGTTAAGGATTTCGGGGTTCAGGGCTTGGGGGTTAGGGGTTTAAGGGTTTAGGGCTTCTTAGTATTAGGGTTTCAGGAAAACACCCTGGAGGAGAGACTGCGAAGTTGAGCTTCCCTAGGCCACCGGCACCCCACAGCCCATAGTCAGAGGATCCATCCCAACCTCCATAACGGGAGGAGAACGTGTGCTTCGCCCTTGAAGCTCAAGGGGACAAGCTAGTTCATTGCTTCTTTTTTCGAAAGCCTGGGGTGGATTTTGCAGCTGGCTTTCAAAACGGGTTACTTTGACACGTGAAGCCTTCGAAGACTGCGAGGCCCCCTTGTAGGCTTCTAGGAAAAAAGCTGTTCCAGATCCCTAAACCCTAAACCACCTAAACCCCAAACCCTGTACCCCAAACGGCAAGAGCCTTCCACCGGTAGATCCTGAAGCCACATGTCCTAAACCCTTGCAATCCCCAGACCCTCACCCCTTTAATCTTCAACCTTGAAGCGTGAACCTGCAACCCTAAACCCTAAGCCCTAAGCCCTAAACCCTAAACCCTAAGCCCTAAACCTTAAGCCCTAACCCCTAAGCCCCAAGCCCTAACCCCTAAGCCCTGGAACCCGATGCCCCGGCAGATTTGCTTCTGCGCAGGTGGCGGAGGACCTGAAAGGCGGCGGCACACGTTGGGAGGGGGGGGGGGTTTAGGGGTAGATGAAGGGTTTAGGGTCTAGAAGTTAGAAGTTAGATGGGTATAGGGTCTCAAATTTGGGGTTTAGGGTGGCTGAGGGTTTCAGTTTTGAGGGTGCGGGAGGGATGTTTTCTTCTACTCTGTGGAGGTTGAGTTGGGGGATGTATGCCTTTTCCCCAGCAGGTTTTGCGCAGTTCGGTTGTTTTCATTCGACATTCCCAGAGCCTTTATGTTACAATGTTGGGAGCCTGCAGTTCGTATAGACCCCAAGAAGGCACTCACACAGGAACACTTCGTTTTGCAATAGCAGCAAGGCAAGGGTACAGGCAATAGCGATAGCAAGCAGAGGTGAAACTGCAAACGTCGTCATCGCCTTCGTGCCTTCGTCGTCGGCTTCCTCTTCGTCGTTCACTGACACTTGCCGTGGCGATGGCCGGAAAACCAGCAAGAGCGTGCATCAAGAGTGTGAATGTCCACGTTCCCTCTCTCCTAAGGCTTGCCGACTTCTGTGTCGCTTTCGCTTTCAGCGAAACACTGTACAGCGACCGGGACAGTACGGGATGACATGCTCTCAATCTGCGACTTCAAGGACATAAAAAGGGGCAATATGGATGCACATGAATGCCGTATAAAGGTTAGACAGTGCTTAAACACTTGAAAACATACATGCCGAAGTCCTGACCTCAAACTTTGAGTCCAGCGGCTCTCAATCAAAATAAGCAACGCAAGCTCTTGCGCAAAGCAAACCCAAAAACCCCAAGCTCCACCATTGTGTCAAGGGTGTCGGCTGTTGGGTTCAGATCTGCCGTGTGTCTTTGGAGGTCGCAACGTGCCCAGCTCACGGCAGGCGGCAGAACAGATCTGTAATCCTGAACAACATCGGGGTTAGGGGTTTCGGATGTCTTGTGTTTGGGGTTTCGGGCTCTGGGCGTAGAGAGCATGATGACTTGTCTACAGGGCTCATGCAACCTACGTAACCTGGTCCTGTACCAGCTCAGCTTGTGCGTGTTGCATTCCGATGTGGGCTTAACTCTCGGGGTTCTTCAGTTTTCTGCATGTTGGAAGCGTGAGTCTGGGGCTCTGTGTGATATGTTCGTTTGGGAGACCTCGGTGCATGTCGGGGGAGTAATTATGCAGCGCAGCCAGTGCTGCTCTACAGCATCTTTGCAGAGTAAGTGCTTCGGTCTCTAGCGACCGGGATAACAATTGTCAAACATGCCTTTGGAGGAAATAGCTACTACGAGTGTATTTCAATGCTCGGATGCTATCATGTTATCAGTATTTGCTTTCACCGCGACAAATTTGGCGAGGGCGACACATACGCCTCCAACCCCAGCACCACAGTGACTGCTGCTACTGCTGTTGCTGCTTCTGCATTTTCTTGGACTCCATTTCTTGAAGTCCCGACCTGTTTACATGAAGCTGCGTTGCACAATCTTGACACCATGTGCAAATCCATCCCTGTCCATCTCTCAGTCCCTCCCATTCTGCTTTCACGCTCTCTGCTCCTTTTGACCTCGGAACCTCTTTTTCCTTTGCCCTTGTCATTCCTTGTATCGAGGAAAAGAGCAGGTTTTCCTCACTCGCAGCTTTTCAGCTCCACTAAAGGAGCCCTTATAGCTCCGTTTAAAGGAACCCTACAACTTCTAGCCCCCTTTAAAGCAACCCTTAAAAGTTCTTGAAAGGGAAGCCTAAACCCCCCCAAAAAAAACCAGGATGTGCAGGGCTCACTGCCCACTCCCGGTGGACGGCTCACGCGGCTGGACTCTGGGAGCAAGGACCCTGCAACCTCTTGGAGGTTCTAAGTGGGGGGGGTGGCTAAGTAGGGTTCCTTTAAGGCTTCTTTTGGGTTTAGGGTTCGGGTCTAGGGTAGTTATGAGGGGAGGTAGAAGTAGGGTAGCTATACTGCTGGCCCATCTTCGGGCGCTTAGAGCTCCGCCTTTAACTGCCCATGAACCTCCAAGCAGTTTCAGCGAGACAGATGGTTTCGGCTTGTACTTGTAACAGGTTTAGGGTTCAAGGTTCCAATGTGTTTTAGCTCTGGGTTGTCAGAATACGAACTAACTACATGTTTGGGTTTCAGTTTTTTCTATTGGTTTGAGTCTAAGACTGTTTTTTTCCGATACTGCCCCTCCATGCAGCCGCACTTGCTGCTCGTGCGAGTACCTCTCCACTCTCGCCTCAACCCTAAACCCCAAACTCGGAACCCTAAGCCCTAAACTGTTTAAACCCTAAACCCCTGTTGGCCTTCACTGCAGCTTAGCAAGAACCGACGCCGTGGAGGTTCAGGGCTTATGCTTATGGGGTCTTTGTAGGGGTTTATTTGGGGTTTTGCAGGATTTAGGGCTCTGGGGGTTGAAAGTGTCGCATGTAGGCTTTTCTTTCGGTTTTGGCCAGTTTCAACCAAAAGCACCCGACTCTTCGGAGCATCCCCTGTGGGCGTTTCTGGTCTTATGCTGTATACCCTAGGTTTAGGGTTTAGGGTTTAGGGTTAGACGCTAATATCCCAACCCCCCATTTTTTCGGGTTTGAGTGAGTTCGGATCTGGGTGTCGTTTAAGGCGCACGTTCTGGGGCGCGCAGTGTCTGAAGCACATGGCGGCTGTGAGTCGGCAGAGACCCGCTGCGGGGGAGGCCGCGTTTGGGTTCAGGGTTTGCGGGCTCTGATCGGAGTTTTGGGAGTTTAGGAGCATTATGGTAGATTGTAGCATTTTCGGCAGTTTAGGAGCATTGTGGTAGATTGTAGCACATTAGAGCATGCTATCTTACGTTGCAGCATACCGTAGTACGTAGCATCTCCTCGTATCTTGCACTTGAAAACTTACGGTTCGACTCGCCAGGTTTCCGGTGTTCAGCCCTAAACCCCTAAAACCCCTAAAACCCCTAGACCCAAGACCCTAAACCCCTAAACCCTAAACCCCTAGACCCTAAGACCCTAAACCCTAAACCCCTGAACCCCTAAACCCTAAACCCTAAACCCCTAAACACGAAACCCCTAAACCCCTAAACCCTAAACCCCTAAACCCCTAGACCCTAAGACCGAACCCCCTCTAAAGCCTTATCCTCCTTCATCGGGATTTAGGGTAGGGTTTAGGGGTTTAGGGGGTTGGGGTTTAGGGTTTAGGGTTTTAGGGGTTAAGGGTTTAGGGGATTCATGGGCTTTCGTGGTCGGCTTCGCTGCTCGAATCCTTGCAGGTTGGGTTGTACTGGGGCCGCCTAGAGTATAATTTATACGGCCTCTTCCACTACCTTCTGCTTTGCCGGTGCGCGGTACCGATGCACTTTTTTCCTTGCACTTGGCAGTTTTAGGCTTTTATTGCCTCTTCCGTGTTTTCTGTGGCGGCCACTTTCCGGAGTTTTCATCTTCCCGGGTTTGACAGGACTTGTGTCTTTGCACAGTCTCTCCGGCGGCAGCCGGGTAGTTTTTGGCATTCTGCCTAGGCTGTGCTCATGTAAGTCTTGATGGTTTCTCTTCGTCAAGGCAGCAAGCTTCACGTGTGGTGTGTTTGTGTTCGATCGCTTTCTTTTTTGAGAAATCTCTCTGTCTCTCTCTCTCTCTCTCTCTCCCCCTCCCTCCGTCTCCCTAGCTCTCTCATGCTGGCTCTGTCTCTGTGGCTCGGTTTTCTGGTGCCCCGCAAGTTCAGTTGGATACTTCGGTCTGCAAGTCTGAGCGCAGCTTTTGGGGGATACTTCTGAGGCGAGGTGATGAGCACATCCAGCGTCGGTCTGCGGCCACATAAAAGCTTGGCAGCCCACTCCCCGAGCCAAAACCCTGAACCGCGGAGCCCCTAAACTGGTTTAGAGTTTAGGGTTTAGGGTTTAGGGCTTTAGAGGTTACCTACCAGCTTTAGCAGCTTGCAGGTAAGCTGTTCTCGCCACGTCCTGTTGGCGGAGTGGCTTGAACCCTAAACCCTAAACCCTAAACCCTAAACCTTAAGCCCTAAACCCTAAACCCTAAACCTTAAGCCCTAAACTCTAAACCCCAAACCCCAACCCTAAGCCCGAAAAGCAACCGGCATCCCGGCGAGGCGCTGCGACAGCGCCTCGCCGCTCAAGCGGACGCGGCTCTAGCTGAAGGCAGGCCTGAAAGGTTTAGAAAGGCAGTGCTTGGCAGTGTTTGGGTTGTTGTGCTGCTTCTGCATTTCTGGGGGCACTACGTTGGGTTGAGAAAAGACATATCTTGATGCAGGATGTCGAAACAGTCACTACTTCTCTTGCGTTGCTTGCGTTGGGCTACTGTGAAGGCTTCTGCTTCCTTGAGAGGGGGGGGTTTGAAGGTAACACTGTCCCCTTACAATCCACACGGTTATTGTACACAGTACTCCAAGCCCCTAAGCCCTAAACCCTAGATTAGGGTCCGACGTGCGTCTTTCTTTGCGCTTACAGTCGGAGCCTCAACAGTGTAACAGGGTTCAGGGTTCAGGGTTTGGAGTTTAGGGTTTAGGGTTTAGGGCTTTGGGCTTAGGGTTCAGGGCTGAGGGTTTGCCGTTTAGAAAGCCACGGCTCGGGTTTCAAGATCACATCGCAAAAGCTGGTGAGAAGAGCAAGAAGCAGAGAAGCCATAATCACAAGATGGGCCCCTGAGTTACTTCCCTAGACCCTGAACCCTCGGATTGATAATACGGGTACCGGCACAATGAACTGCCAGTACTGCTACTCACAGTATGCCAGTCCTGACATCCAAGGCTCACAAGGAGCCCAGGAGACTCCAAAACCCCTCGATTAAGGAGTAGACCGTAAGTCATACTAGGAAGCCTTGTATGATTTAAGGCATATTCCTTGCTTACCGGGCTTGTGAGTCTCTGGGGACCCTAGGCACAAAGCCCAAAACCCCAAACCCTAAAGGCAGTGTACTCGCTTCGCGTGGGTTCGGTCATCGTACAGCGGCCGACAGTGTACCCTCAAGCTTGAGCGAGCCTCATGACGCTTCTGCGGAGTGAAAGGGGGCCATTGCACTTAAACCCTAAACCCTAAATCCTAAACCCTAATCCCTAAACCCCAAAAAGACATTCGTGAAGATATCCGAAACTCTGACCTTCGCCGGCCTACCGCAGGTCCTGACAACCCACTTCGAGTGCTCCTGAGCCAGCCGGAAGGCTACCGGGTTTCAAGTTTTGGGTTTGGGGTTTGGGGTGGGCAGGCTTTCAGGCTTTGGGACTTTGGGAATTGAGCCTGTAGGGTATTTTCGACTCCTCTTCGTGCATCCAGGGTGAGATGGACCCTCTGGTCTTGAGGATGGTGGTAGCTGTTTTATACTATATTATACTATATGATACTATAGGATACATATCTATATATATATATACACACACCCACATATGAACATAACTGTTCAGGTTCGCTTGGCATCCCTCTCTAGTCCCGAATCCCCCCATAAACCCTGAACCCTAAACCCTAAGCCCTAAACCCCAAACCAATTCCTTGATGAACGATCCCTGCATATGGAATCCCAGGGGTTCAATGATTGTAACAGTAATAGTAGTAGCAGTTTGAGTCATGGTAGAGTATGTTCAACAGCTTTTCAGTAACAACAACAACACTCGTAGTGCTACCAAGAAAAAACAGTGGTGCAGTCGGTCTAATAGAAGCACTATCAATACTAACAGTACGTTAAAGACGACTGCTGTCCTAGCAGTGAGCTTCCCAGGGACGCGTGAAGATGCCAAAAGCCGGCTGGAGGCCGCAGTCAGGTGCCGACTGCACCGCTTCGTCTTTAAATGTAGGAGATCTTCGAGGATTTAGAGGTCAGGCTTTGGGGTTGAGGGTTTAGGTTTTCGTGTTTAGGGTTTAGTGTTTCAGGGAGGATTTTGCGGGGTTTCCGGTTCAGGTCTCAGGGGCCTCTTTAAAAGCTTTGACTGCCTTCGGGATTGGGGTGATCGTGCTGCTGCATTTCTTCATCATGACATGAAGAAAGGCAGTAGCCAATGGCGGTGTCATGTTTGTAAGCATCCTTCGGATCCCAGTATGTCAGGAGTATGTAGTATGTATGACAGCATGCTCAACAGCCGGAAAAACAAGATCGCATTCGGATTTACTGCGGTTTGGACTTTTGCCTTCAATGTTTAATGGTAAGTCCTCTCAGCAAGGCTTTGGGGATGTGGTCCGGATTCCGGATGTCCCAGGATAAATGAACTGTATATTCTTTGAAGCCAGGGACTTGTCACTCCATCATACTCCATCTTAGCAGGCGCCGTTGTCACGAAGATCTGAGACCAGCACCCTAAACCCTAAGCCCTAAACCCTAAGCCCTAAGCCCTAAACCCTAAACCCTAAACCCCTGAACCCTAAACCCCAAACCCCTAGTGCCCTACACCCTAAACCCGCACCACCAGCAGCACCAAAGCATCGGCACCACCCGCAACAGCCGCGACAGCAGGCTAGCAGGTCCTGAAGCCCCGAAACCCGACCGAGACTAGAGCCCTTGCTTTCATGATATTAATATTAATGCTAAGACTCATACCTAATACTAATGTTATTACTACGAGTACTAGTATTAGTATCAATACTCATACTAGTATTGGTATGAATCCTAAATCCTAAACCCTAAACCCACTGAGTATTAATTTTAGTCTTTCGGGAATCTCTGAGAGGCTCCTGCTGGAGCGCCCGAAGGCGAAAGCGCTCGAGGACGAGGCTGGCTCTTCTTTGGGGCTCGGGTGGGGGCGGGGGGGTTTCCTTTCAAGGAAACCCTAGGGTTCGGGGTTTAGGGTTTAGGGTTTGGGGTTTAGAGTTTAGGGTTTGGGGTTTTGGGGTTTTGGGGTTTGGGGTTTAGGGTTTCGGGTTTAGAGTCCCTAGTCACTAAACCCTAAACCCTAAACCCTAAAACCCTATAAAGGGTTCCTTCGAAGGGTTCCTGGTAAAAGGGTTCCTTCGAAGGGCTCTTTTAAAGGGTTTAGGTTTTGCGATCTGGTTTTTAAAGTTCTGAAGGGTTACAAGGAGGGTTATTTTTAGGATTACTCGAAGGGGTCTTGTCAGGGTCCCAAGTTTAGGGTTTTAGGCTTTCAGGGTTCACGCTTTCGGAATTACGGTTTGGGTTCTCATCATGTAGTGTTTTGGGTTCATGGTTGCTAGAGGGGTTCCTGTACGGGTTACTAGAAGGTGGAAGAAGGCATAAGGGTTCCTAACAGGGATGAGGGTTTAGGGTTTTCGGGTTTCTTCAGGGTATCGTGATTTATGGTTTCTCTGTTTTTTTTCTTCGGAGCTTGGGATTTTTGAGTTCAGGGTTTGGGGATTCAGGGTTGTGGCGTCTGAGGGCTGAGGGTGGTGAGCTGTAGGCTGTTGGGTTCATGGACTAGCCCTGAACACTGAACCGTAAACCCCTAAAAACCCAAAAAAACACTAAAAGACCCTAGGTCTTGAGGCATGGGAAGGCGAGGGCCCGGGGTGTTGGTAGTCAGGGCTTAGGGTGGGGAGTTCCAGAGTTGCAGGGCAATGGGCTTTTCCAGGTAATACAGAACTAAATAATCACAAATCACTAATATTATTCCTTAGGGTTTCGGGTTTAGGGTTTGGGGTCATATTTATAGTACAATATACTCCCAACACCTAGTCTAGATATTCAGGCCACTAGATTATTCACAACTTTAGGCGAAGATCATCGCATAGTCTCTTACTGATTTCTGGCTATGCCGCGGCAGCCTCGTAAGAATCAGTGCTGCCAACTCCACACCCCAACCATTCCGAGTTTGCACCGTCAGCTGTACCTGGGCAGTCTGAAAAATTGAACCCCTAAACCCCAAGACCCCCAACCCTAAACCCTAAACCCTAAACCCTGAACCCTAAACCCCAAAACCCCAAAACCCTAAACGGATTGAGTTTCAGGCCAGCGAGAGGGGACACCCGGAACTTTAGGTTCGTAGCATTCAAGCCGCAGAAACGGGCTTTAGGGTTTAGGGTTTTGGGGTTTTGGGGTTTAGGGTTTTGGGGTTTAAGGTTTTGGGGTTTAGGGTTCAGGGATTAGGGTTTAGGGCCTAGGGTTAAGGGCCCGACAACGTTGCGACAGAAGCGTTCGGGTATGGGTATCACTGTTCCTTTGTCGTCGTTGTTGTTGCTCTTCTGCTACGGCTTGCAGAGATGTTTGCATCTATGTTTTCCTCCTGGTTCCAATCAGCATCGTCCTTTCCACCCTAAACCCCAAAACCCTGAACCCTAAACCCCAAAACCCTAAACCCCAAAGCCCTAAACCCTAAACCCTGAACCCTATCTTCCGCCGCAGTAATGGGCTTGAAGGATCCAGACTTTTAGCCTGCGGGATCCATTTAGCCGATGCCATGGGCTGTGGGGCGAGCACGAGCGGCCCGGTGTGGATGCTCTTACCCTCCGCCTTGAGTAGTAGCAGTTGTTATTAATAGCAGCCATTAGTAGTAGTAGAAGAAGAAGTAGTAGCAGTAGTAGTAGTCGAAGATGCCCCGAAGCCTAAGCTCCTACAAGCCAAGCTTGAAATCCAAAGCCCTGGAAACCCTAAATCCAAAACCCAAAAACGGCTTAGGGTTTAACATCTAGGCTTAAATCCTAAACCCTAAAACCTAAATCCGAAACCCTAAACCTAAATCCGAAACCCTAAATCCCAAACCCTAAACCCCTAGATCCTCATACCAGGGTCCTTTAAATGCCAGGCCCCGAGCTGCTCCCAAAGAGGGAGCTTAGTCCCTCAAACCTGGCTCTTGGGGGTTTGTTGGGTTCTTACCAGGGGTCTAGGGGTTTAGGGTTTAGGGGTAAAGGTAGTTTGTCTATGTATGTAGATAAAGAGTGGATATAGGTTTTTGGGTTTTGGGTTTTTGGGGTTTTGGGGTTGTGGGTCTTCGTTTGTTTTAACCTCATCTAAGGGTGTCGAGTTGAGGTTAGGAAGTGTAGTATTAGGATTCGGCGTGGGCTTCCAATGAGGACAGTCCCAGGTTAGTATACGCATAACTCCATTTTTTAGCCGACCTACTAAGCCGAAAGCCGGAAGTCCCTCAGCCCTAAAACCTCAACCCTGAATATCCCAAACCCGAATCATCTCAGGCAAGGTGGCAGACGAATCGGCTGGGGCTGGGGGACCGATGCTCCGTCGGAGCGGTTCCTTCAATTCCCGCGAGAGGAATGAGAAGGACGCACTGACGTCACCGGTTTGGGGCAAGTTTAGGGTTTAGGGTTGAGGGTTTTCATGGAGCCATCAGAGGAAAGTTGATCCAGAGCCCGGAATGCCGGCATGGGTCCTTGCCTCAAGTGTAGGCGTTCAGGTTTCGAGCCGCAAGCTCCAAACCCTAGTAGCCCTAAAACCAGAAGCTCTGTAGAAATCCTATTGGCAAAGATAAAGCCCTGCCCTATAGAACTCAGTGATAGACCCCTGTAAAGTAGGTGCAAAAACCCAAAACCCACAACCCTAAACCCTAAACACACTGGTCAGGATGTTCCCGACGGTGTGAAGCTCCCACCGGCGCGGAGAGCCCACGACAAACACGTCGGCGACCTGGATGTCTTTCTGGGGCTCGTCAAGAAGAGGCTGGTATATGTATGTATGTAAGTAAGTATGTATGTATGTATGTATGTATGTATGTAATGTATGTATGTATGTATGTATGTATGTAATTATGTACATACATATATATATATACATATGTATATGTACATGTATATGTACATGTACATGTATATGTACATGTATATGTGTATATGTGTATATGTGTATATGTGTATATGTGTATATGTATATGTGTATATATGTATAGATGTATAGATGTATATATGCATATATGTATATATGTATATATGTATATATGTATACATGCATATATGTATATATGTATGTATGTATGTGTATATGTATATATGTACAAATGTGTATATGTGTATATGTATATGTGTCTATATGTCTATATGTCTTTATGTCTATATGTCTATTGTCTATATATTGCTATATGTCTATATGTATATGTATATGTATATGTGTATGTATATGTGTATGTATATGTACATAGATATGTATATGTACATAGATATGCATATAGATATGTATACAGATATGGATATAGATATAGATCTAGATGGATGTAGATATAGCGTCCATAATTATCTGCAGCCCTAAACTCACAGCTTAAGCCCATTACCCTAAATCCTAAATCCTAAACCCCCAAAACTGATCTTGTAAAGTTAATGTAGGGGCCTTAAAAATTACCTGTGCGATTTTGCGGGTTCCTTATAAAATAATTTAATATAATCTACCCCAAAACCCTAATTCTAATTATTAAGGCCCCTATATTACCCGAAACCCTCAACCCTAAACCCTGTTAAGTTACGGTCAGGCCGAAGGAGTTTGAGATGGACATCGAGGCAAGGCGTGACTGCGACTTTTTGGAGCTCCTTGCCTCTTGGGGTCATGGGGCTAGGGTTTAGGGTTTAGAGTTTCGGGTGCAGGTGGGGTTGTCCCAAAGTAAGAGTCCTTATAGAAGGGTATCCTGAATCCTGCCTACCTGCGTCCCACCGTTTCAGGCCTCCAATGGGGAGAGAAGAGCTGGGTTTATAGGGTTTAGGGTTTAGGGTTTTTGGCTCGTAGGACTTGGGTTCTAAGCTTTTTTTGGGAGGGGGGTTTAGAGGTTTTAGGGTTTAGGGTGGGACTCCCGTTGTCTCCATGCCCCTTGGTCGCCTGTTGGGGAGCCTATTCGGGCTCCAATTCCACAAGGGGTGATTTTGTTTGATGTGCCGCGTTTCCGGCCGGATTGCGTCAGACTAAAGCTCTGAAACGGCGTCCCAACTTTGGGTCTTCGCGTGGTGTGTAGGTGTCGGCATCTCGGGTTCTCGTCAGATTTCCGGTTGTGTGCGTGCTCCTGGTGTTTTTGGTGTCTGGATTCTGGATGTGAAAGTATCCGGTGCCTTGCTTCTGCCGTTGTCCAGCTGCCTAAGCGTTTGCGGTGGAAAGGCCCAGCCCAAGATCATCGCGTGTGTCTCTGTCTCGCCGCCTGGCGGTTCATTTTGGCCCAGAATGCCGGTGTCCCGTCGTGTGCCTCGTGTTCCTCCCGGTGGCTATCCGGGAGTGCCGGTGTCTCTGTGTCCTGATGTTCAGATGTCGTGTCTGGGCATCTTATGACGTGGTGCCGAGCCGCTTTCCTGGGATATGATCCAGGTCTTAGGGTACACTCTTTGTTGACTTATATCCCCACTTATGTATCTACCCATGAACCTCCAAGCAAGGTTTGGCCACACCTACTCCATGGACAGCCAGTTCAGCCAGTTCAGCCAGTTCAGCCGGGCCAGCGCCAGTAGCCGAAAGAGGCAAAGCTCGCACATGTCGCGAGAAAGCCGCCTGCGCGAGTTTTTGGGGTCGCAGCACAACTTCTGAGAGTGGCCTTTCAAACGAAGGTCAACAACGGAGGTGTGACTGTGAGGAACACATAGCATCTTTTTGGAGGAGAGCTCGCCATGCTCCTCGTAGTTTCACCGCTCCATTGTCACGTGGAGCCTGCTGTCGGGGGTGTCGAAGGGCACCGACCGATCTTGGGTCCGCTATGCTTCACGGAGGCAAGTGTGGGCCTGGGGTTAAGAGCGCGCAAGCACACACAAACACACAAACACGCAGGCCCGTTTGAAATGCTGTGCATGCTTAGTCATGCGGCCTGTTTAATTGGCGACAGGGACGTCTCCTGAGCTTTTCTGCAATTGACTGGACTCTGAACCTGTCTATTTCTATTTTCTGTTCAGTTCTTGGGTGGAAATTGGTGATCCTGAATATACCTGTTAGTGTTGAAATTTTGAACTGTTGTTGCTACGTTTATATTACTGTGATGTCGATTACAGTTGACCCATAACTCTCCGATATCTTCGGCTACCAGTGTTAGAGGCTCACGACATGCTTCCGGGTCCCTTTCTGCTTCGGGTGCGGTCGAGGTGGGGTGCATGCAGCATTCCTAGATGTGTACGCAGGTGGCTTGTCTTTCAGGTCAAGCATGCAGGATGAGCAGGATGAATGAAGGGGAGTGTGCAGGGTCTACTGGTACTCATACCAGTACTACCAGTACTACTATTGCCACCACTACTGGTAGTACTACTTGTACTGCCTGATTTACCAGTACTACCAGTGCTACAGCTGCTGAGGCTACTAGTACTGCTACTATTGCTACCATTACTACTACCACTACTACTACTACTACTACTACAATTATTATTATGATTATTATTATTACTACTACTACTACTACTACTACTACTACGTGCAAAATGGTCGGTTTGCCCGCACACCTGCTCTGCGGAGCCGGGCGGGGTCTGTTTTAGCTGGCAGGCGCGTACTATTCGGCACATGGTCGCAGGACGGCCAGGGAGGCCCCAATTGGACGCGCGAGCAACTCGCCTCCGGAAATGACAACTGTCCCGAGGATTCTGCGTGTGAGCTCTTTTGCATTTTGGCTTCTGCTTGTGCCGTGCGAGCAACTCGCCCCTGAAAAAGACAACTGTCTCGAGGATTTTGCATGCGCGCTGATGTGAATTGTTGCATGTTTTGGCCGCGCACCTGTGTGAGCAAGGCGCACCTACTCTGATGATGATGATGATGATCATGATGAGGATGAGTTTGATGATGATGATGATGACGATGATGATTTTTGGGATTTGGGTGTTCCTTTCGGGGTGCGTGGGTGCGAAACCCTGAACCCTAAAGCGAATCGGTGGCTGCCAAACCCTCAACCCTAAAAGGACTGAGTGTGTGCGAAACCCTAAATCCGAAATGCGAAACCCTGAATCCTGAAAGGAGTGGGTGGGTGCGAAACCCTGAACCCTAAAAGAAATGGGTGGGTGCGAAACTTTGAACCCTAAAAAGAGTGGGTGGGTGCGAAACCCTCAACCCGAAAAGGAGTGCGTGGGTGCGAAACCCTAAACCCGAAATGCGAAACCCTGAACCCTAAAAGCAGTGGGTGGGTGCGAAACCTGGAACCCTAAAAGGAGTGGTTGGGTACGAAACCCTAAACCCTAAAAGGAGTGGGTGGGTGCGAAACCCTAAACCTAAATGCGAAACCCTGAACCCTAAAAGGAGTGGTTGGGT